GGAAAGTCTTTACACTTTTATTGTCATCTCTCTGTTACATTGATGCTAAAACTGCAGCAAGTGTTAAATAATGAAATTCTGTTTTGCGTTCCCAAAAGTTACTCAAGATCTTTAGTCCGCGAAGCTATATACACTGATGCCAGTCACTCTGTGGCCGCCAAGCTGCAAGAACGACTCAAGCCATTCCGACCGCTAAACGACACTAACTCCAGCCACTCTGTGGCCTCATAGCTGCATTGATTCCATCCACTCTGTGGCCCCTAATGCTCCAGTCAATGTCAACCACCCTCCCCACCTCAGGGTTTAGTGGGCGATTTGGAAATTATTGTTGTAAAATTTGCAAAATTCCCCACCTCCTGGGGCAAGATGGATAGGCAAATCCCTACCCAAAACAAACCCCCCACATTTCTCCCACCGATCGCCACTGTTCGCCATGCTTGCTGTTAGCAGAGTACTAGCAATGCTAGCGATGATGGGACATGAAACACGGCTATTACCCCACCTCCACGGACACAGTTTGGCGGTAAACCCTGTCTAATGCCCCACATTTGTCCCGTATTGCCCGAGGTGGGAGGGGTCGGGCTGACATTGACTGGAGCATAAGCTGCGCTGACTCCAGCCACTTATTGGCCACTAAGCCACACTGACTCCAGTCATTGATGCCACTAAGTGACACTGACTCAAGCCATTGAGGCCACTAAGTGACACTGACTCAAGTCATTGAGGCCACTAAGTGACACTGACTCAAGTCATTGAGGCCACTAAGTGACACTGACTCAAGTCATTGAGGCCACTAAGTGACACTGACTCAAGCCATTCAGGCCACTAAGTGACACTGACTCAAGCCATTCAGGCCACTAAGTGACACTGACTCAAGCCATTCAGGCCACTAAGTGACACTGACTCAAGCCATTGAGGCCACTAAGTGACACTGACTCAAGCCATTGAGGCCACTAAGTGACACTGACTCAAGCCATTGAGGCCACTAAGTGACACTGACTCAAGCCATTGAGGCCACTAAGTGACACTGACTCCAGCCATTCAGGCCACTGAGTGACACTGACTTCAGCCAAAAGCAAATTTGAATTTGTATGACCTTTGTTCTGCTAATCGCAGCCAATCATATACTAGTACCCCTAACAGATGCGTATAAATGTATCCTCATGTTACTATGGAAATATAGCTTCATGCTTTTACACAATAACCCAATAAATAGTGGTTTATGACCAACTTTATCAAAACAAGGTTATACCTTATTGGTTCTTCATCCTGTATGTCTCAAAAAACTAGCCAGTCATAACATTTGAAACAGATTTGACTAAAGCTTTTTTTGTTCTCTTTCAGCTTGTGGAAGATGAGAATGTTCGTGCTGTGATAACAATGAATGAAGAATATGAAACAAGATTCTGGGTGAATAATAAGGAGGTATTATGAAACATTAAATACAGTGTAGGGCATAAAGCTGTGTCTATGTAATTTATAAATACTGATCATTAACTCTCATTCAAATTGAAAAATTTAATAGTGATTGGCACTATGCTAATAATGCACACACATACCTTCGCATGACATAGCAACTGCCCACTTATTTAAAATGAGGTGCTTGCTGATTGGATAATGTTGAACTAACTCATTAAAATTAATTAGAATAAATAATGATGTCACTGTACAATTTTTGGATTGGTCAATTTGAATTCTAGCACCCATTTTGATTTATAAAAATATGTATTTGTAAAACATTTATAATGACCCCAGCTTTGTGCCCTTCACTGTATATACCAGTGACTTTTTAGAACTATACACCTTCTTGTTTGATCACTAATGAACACACATCCTCGGGGGCGGAGCTACGTCAAAAGACGTTCCACGTTGCTAAGATGCGCATCTATGTACCATGCATTTCTATGGGCTTTGCGCGAGCTGCTGTGGAACGCCGGTCAAATGGCCCGTGAAAATAGCTAAATTCGAGAAAACAGTATAGACTCAACTCAAGTAATCCTGAACACCAAATTTATATATGTTGCACACGCAGGGGGTACTGTTACACTGTTCAGGGGAGTTTTTGGCCTTTGTTTTCACCGCGATGGTTGCCAGGCGGTGAAAATGCCCAGATTTCCACCCCCTGCCAAAAAATATGATTGACATTGTGCTGCTTGATATATTTAGGAATGGGAAGCAGCTGGTGTTGAACAACTCCGACTGACGACACAAGATTTTGTTGGTACACCGTCATCAGAGAATGTGAATAAAGCTGTGGATTTTATTTACAAATATAAAGAAATGAACAAAAGTGTTTATATTCACTGTAAAGCTGGTAGAACGAGAAGTGCTACTATAACAGCTTGTTATCTTATGAAGGTTGGTTTGGTTTCTTGTCATATCACCCTCTGGTGGTTGTATATAGATAAACTTTTGTTTGAGATTAACTTGATGTCTGATTTCTAGCTAAAGGTTGGTGGTCGTAATACAATTACCCCTCGCTAAGTTGAAAATCAGTAAGTCACGGTTTCGGCTAAGTCGCTGGTAGTTGGTTTGCTCCCAAAAATTTGATTGTGTTTTGCTGGCAGTTTTGAAGTACCCCCGGTAAAAGAACTAATGTCTTGTCACATTGTGTAGCTAATTGGCCGTTAAAGGGCTGGAGAAGACAACTTAACGCCTACTACTGAGAAACAAAGGGTGATGGCAGCCTGACTCAAGGTGTCGAGGGGGGTATGAAGTCGACTTAACATACTAGTACTTCACAGCCGTTCCCCTGTGACATAGCTCTATAAAACTCGCTTCAATGAATTGAATCCATGCAGACATGGATGCTGTAATGAATTCTCTTTCATTTACAACATTGTTTGTTTTGTAGGACAATGGATGGAATCCCCAAACAGCTTATAATTTTATCAAGTCTAAAAGAAGTCACATCATATTAAGACAAAAACAATGGAATACATTAGAAGATTATTACCAATCAATTAATGAATCACCTAGGTAACGCAAGTCACCAAGGTATCAGAGTTCAACTGGTAAAATGGTTAACCTAAGTAACGCATCTTGTGATGGTGTCAACAAAATGAACATTATGTATATAACTTCCATCCTATGTTTCCACACATCAAGATGTATAGGATTCCATTGATGCTGGAATTATTTGCAGTATGTGTGTGCCTTTTTACATCTTAAATTTTATCAAAAAACACAATTCTGTTTTGGATAATGGGATTTACTACTGATGATCATGTGACCATCCTGGCCATGTATTCATTTTCTGTAACTCCACATTTCATATTGGTAACAACCACAGTTTTGGTTTGTGTGTATGTAGACCTTTAGTGACATAAGCTTCGTAGTGTCAGCATTCGATTAGCTATATAAATGAAGTCATCTGAAGATTACTTTCACAGTTATGAGTCAGTCACTGAATGTGTTTACACAGTAATGAGAAGTACTGTAAAATTTGTATTAGAAGCCGCAGCTTCTATTAAAATGGTACAATGCAACAGATGGGATGTGGTTTCTGTAAGAGCATCTACACATATGAAAATGATGAATTTTTGGTTCTCAATTGTTGAAAAGGAATGGATGCAACTTCTATTAGGAGAAGTGACTACTGATACAGATTATACGGTAGTAGTGTATGCAGTTATTTTTGCATTTACATAGTATTGTTGTGATATACTTGTATATGCAAGGCATTAATCACAACATCACTACAGAAATGTTCAGTAATTTTCTGCTGTTGTACTCTTGGAGCAACAAAGACATTTTATCTTCATGAATATTTATAAATTTCAATGTCAGTTTAATCAAACCAGCCAACCAACAAGCACAGTTTGCAACGTCAATTGAAAATATTCCAATGTTATTTAATTGGCCAATAGAAACCTCCCATTTCAATTTGAATTGTGAAATTCATAAATATGCATAAAAAAGTTGGGAATGTCTTTGTTGTACCAAGAGTATCAATGACGTTATTCAGGCACTTGCAATAAAATGTAGATAGCAATATAGCTTTAATTTCTTTGAGTATAAGGAATAGTTTTAAATATCTCGGCTGTTGAATATAAAATCAGTATATTAAAACAAGTTGTGCTAATTTTGTTATTGATTGAATTTGAATGTTGAATATATTTTGCCAGTACTGTAGGACAAACACCTTCGCCTGTATTCACTGCTAATGAAATCAAACAAGTTTGGATTCTCCAGTGTGTTTCCATGGTAAGTGGAACACAGAGTTGCGTGTTATGATTTAAAATTAAAAAAAATCTGAAAAATAAGAATATCACAGTCTGCAATTTGATGCTTAAATGGTGATGGTCGTCGTGCCATGCATGTGTGAGATATGGGACTTGTATGAATGAATACAAACTGAGACATTACCAAGCTTTAACTAGGTAATCTCTTTGATGACTGGAAGGAAATTAGTGCACTTTACGCCCAGGTCAAAATTAATACTTGTGATTAGAACGCATTGGATTGTGGGAAAATCAATGTTATCAACACAAATGTCGCACATGCACAGCACAACGACCACTGCCCTTTAATACCTTACTGGTCATGATTTTCTACAATGCTATGCTGGCATGCATCATAGTGATATGGAGTGTATTTTGTAAAAAATATTTTGCACATACAAAGACATGTGTATGCTTCACCATGGTCTTATCAGCTGCACTCTCATCAAAGATAACAGAGTGGAGCTGTTCATAGTAACGATTGTCCATCGTCAACTTTACATGCTTTGACACTTTTTATATATTTATCTTGGGTGGCCCCCTCTCAGATTTCTTCATTTTGAGATCTTTAAATCTCTAGTTTTAGCTTATATTTTTTGGAACTTTCTTATGAAACATTCTAGGCTGATTGTTTCTATATTTTGTATGCAGATACCTTAAGTTAGTCAAATCAATTCATTTTGTAGCGATACTTTAAATTCTCTAATTTTATTGAAAATTTTCATCATCCTTGCTAAAAATGGCTATTTTTGATTTGCTTTGACATTTAATATGACACTTTGGGCGGGCCTCAGTCACATATGTTTATTTTTTTTCGTTCCCACATATGGCTGAAAACGCATGTTCTATTGTGTTGATACATCTGTGTTCATGCGTTTCAAGACGTTGACCTTGAATAGTGGGTTTGACCCAAATTTGGTATTTTTTTTATAAATATATGGAAGTCAAGGTCTGCAAAATTGAGACAAGTGTTGACTTTGTATCTAGATAGCAGGCAATCATTATCGTGATTATTCCCCACACTGGTACAATTAGTCAAAAAATGCCCAAGAACAAAACATTAAATCTAGTGCAGTGTTGTATGGCAAGATTGCATCTCTGCTTTATGAAATAACCAACACAGAACCACTTAACTTTAGCACTGTCACATCACTAGCTTATATTTTGCCTCCCAAACTATTATGAATGCAAACCACAAACCAAGACTATATTATACATTATTTAATAGAATTCACTCCAAAGCTATGGCAAAAAAATATGAACAGTACAGTAATTGAGACGATCAACGACAATTATGATAAAAGTAAAATACTATGTCAAGCCTGTGGAAATGCCTTTAGTATCAAATCTACGCATGTGCCATTAGGAGACTGGTTGTTTACAAGTGCCACAAAGAAAGGAATTGATGTGGTACAGTATAAACCTGTTGGTAGCTTATCAATCACATGGTCCCATTCTGTTAACACTACTATCATCACATGATTTTATCTATTCTCAGTCAATAAACAGTAAAAGAAAACAAACCCCTGTAAACACTTGGCATCAAATTCATCCAGATAAGAGACATCCGTGCCATGAACGGAGCCTACAGAGTTGGTAAATTATGTTTCAGTCAAGAGTGGCTTGTGACAAAGATTCTGTGTCATATCAGCATTTGGATCTTAATTCTTTACAGTTTAAGCTATTTTCGCACTGCAGTTGAAATAACACTTGTACAGTACTCAAAATTTTGAATGTCTGTGCTTGTGACGTTCATATGAAGATGCTTCAATTACTGTGGCTGTTGATATCCCACCTGATTACCAACCACAAACACGCTCATTTATCTATTCCCCTCGCTTGACTGATACAAAGACATGCATACATATAACTTATCAAAGTGGTCCCATTTTTGTTTTTGAAGTAAACATTTAATAATGACCATTTCAATCCAGATTACATTACGTTTCCGCTAATATATTTCATTGAAGCAAGAAAGGCAGGATCGCATAGTGCAAGTAACACAAGTCCATGAGTTGCACACTAAACTAATTTCCCGCTGTATTTTTTCCCTTTGCTGCTTCTCCCTTCCAATAACTCCAAAGCAAAGTCGAAGTTCAGCAATAACAATTTCCTCATGTCCTAATTTTGACTCAATCTTTACATCTACATTGAACTATATATAATCACTTGAATCATTTTCATTGGAAAAACAAGCAGAGAAAGTTTTTTCATTGAATAAAAGGTAAGAGTGCAGAGTTTGTCTATAAATAATGAAAACCACCACTGTCATGCATTGCTTTCTGTACTGCTGGAAAAAAAGTTCTGTTACTACGCTATAAAGGGCACATGAAGGTTGTTGCATTTAGAACCAACTTTGCAGAATATACTACCGTAAATAATCCCGTCAGAATTGTCCGGCAGCACATACATAGATGTTACTTTTCTTGTCAGTACCATACTGAAATAATAAAGTGAATCATATCTCCACCGTATTTTGCATATGAAATAAACACATGGTACCCAGGGAACTGAAATTGCGCATTAAAATATTAATCTCGTTTTGGACTTTCTAGCTTCTTATTGCTGTTACACAGAAAATATGACTGCCTCCTCTGAATAAACCAGCAGATTCTAAAATTGGTGACGAGACTTTTTCAGAAAACAATGGTGGACACTAATTGTGAGGTAGCCTAGACACTGAATATTTTGCTCATTATAATTTACATGATTTTTCCAGTGCCGAAACTTCAAGAAATTGTATCTTCCCAGTTTCAGTTCAGACAATTTCCACTGTGACAATACAAAAGATGGTTGGAGATTTTTAACTTATTTGGCTCCAGCTTCAGGTAGTTTCTGTTTCCCAAATTAATTATGCAACTCTACGATCACAACTGCCCATAATTTTAATACATGTATAAAAGATCTGACTAGCAAGTGTAAGATAAGTTTTCGTAAAAGTGCAAAACATTTTCAATAGAAAAACATTTTTTTTTGACTGAGCACATATGCATTTAATACTGGATTAAGATCTACAGTTGACAACATTGTTGGTAAATAGCAGTATTGGAACTGCATTTTTGGAGTTTGATTTGTTTCAAACAGTTGCCATATTCAAAATTGCATTCTGGGAATTTGATTTTTTGTATTTCCTCGAAAAATCAGGTGAATGATACAAGCCGTGTAAAGCAAACAAAAATAAAACAGTACTGATTTCCAAACTAATTTACAAATGCTATGAAATTACAGTGTTATTTGAGTTACAACTTCCACAACTCAAGAATACCCTTAACGATCCCCACATCATTGTAGTTGAAGTAACAAAGACCAGCGAATGCTGCGATTGATAAACCGTAGAGGGATGCATGCGCTACTTTTGGTATCATGTCGCCATGGACGTAATCTGTTACTATCTGTTGTAGACCCCTGCAAATCAAAACAATACATCATTATTAATAACATTTGAATGAAGAATTGTTTTTTTATTTATTTTTTTCATTTTCAGGAACAGAAATGGAATCCATTTCACCAATATTCAATTGCCAACCCATGACAAGCCAACTGTGAGGTCAAAACTTTTGAAAATGCCTTAAAATATTTGATGATAAAAAGTGTATCCTTAATGAAAATATGGCACTAAACAACATTGCTGTTTAATCCAAGAATGTCAAATTAAATATTGTTTTTTATTGTTGAACATTTTCACTGTACAACTCTGTGGTGTTGCATGCAAATAATGCTTAAAGGAAGCATGGGAGATCATAGTCTAGGCTTTCATGGTAATGGCCTTCCTAGTAATAGACTTGCAGCATTGTAAGAGTGGTTGTCATTTACATTCTTGTTATTGATAAAAGGAGGTGACATTCTGTTACATTCACATAATGCATAGTAAGCTGCATATCCCAAATTAAATGCTTCATTGAGATTTTTGTCATCAATTGACTGGTATTCGTTCATGTATCTGTTTTCTAAGACCTGTCAATTTGTTGCACATCGACTTTTTATTTCAGAAGTAGGTTCCATGGCAGTGCTCAAGTGAGTAACCAATGACCAAAATATAAATATCAGCCACCCTTACAATAGTGTCAGCGTAGGGGTCTTAAAACTTAAAAGATTCGATCAGTTCGGATGGAATTTCTTCAGCATTCTAGTTAACCCATCAGCATTGCAAGAAAGCTCTCAAGAGTAGCGGCGTAAATTATAGAGTAGCCACCCCGCCACACTAAATTGTTTTGGGGAGAACACTCTGTATATAACTTCTTATCACTGGCAAAAGTCTTTGAGGCGAGATGAGAATAAATAAGTATTTAGGATCGCTAACAATTAGACTTCTAATAGTAAAAATAGGGTCGAATATGTGCTAATTCAAACAAGATTTGAGGTATATTTTGACTTACCAATGCCCATGTAGAGTGACTCCAGCTGCCAAGACGTAGTCTAACGCTGGACATTGTGTAATGAACGCGGTGGGGAAAGCAAGAAGCAAACCAGTAGCCAGTACTCTCTCGGCATTCCAGTGAGATGATGCCAGAAAACCGCTTGTTTGAACTGAAAGACAATGAAGAAAATACTTGGTTTTTATTGCATTACATGGTTTATAATTGGAATGTTCTATATTCCCAAGACATGTACAAATGTACCATGTATTTCTATGGGGTCTGCGTAAGCTTCTGTGGAACGCAGTAAAAAAAGAAGAAACTCAACTTCAAAGTAATCCTCATCAACCAAATTTACACATGTTGCACAGAGTTTTCGGCCAGTTTTCCCTGTGAAAATTACTGGATGTCCACCCCGAGAACAAAATTAAAAAAAAATGTACTGTACTGTATGTTATGTACTGTACTGTAAGCGTTTTGCATTAGCTTTTGTAAGCTATATACTTCTGACCAACTCCAATAGAAGATCTTGATGCAAAACAGTTTCCAATCAGATTGTTGTAAGACTGTTTACTGATATTGGTGGAGATTTGAATGTTGTCACTTACTTTGTTGGTCATGTTGTGGTGAAGTGTGAATAGTTGTAGTTAACAAAGCCGGGTGACCTAGAGTATGTCTAGGCTTGATGAATGTCCGGGTCATTGCCCTGGGACCAAGCATAAAAGCTGAAAATAAAACAGAATGAAAGTCACAATAAAAACAATGATCCTAAAGAGTGGTTAATTTTATATTTACTGATTTTGTAGTGGGAAGAATGCAGCAAAGTTTCATTGACACAGTCCCTTTATCACTGGTCTTGGAATAGCAATTGTCTGAAATAAGAATTACCTGTAGTCTAATCTCATTAACAGCATAAAAATCTAAATTTTTTCATAGCTATGCAATGGAAGAGTAATTTGTATGAATTTTGCAACCTTTTGCCAGATGCAAATGCATTTCCAAATCCTGTGACGTCATTGCAATGCTCATTAATATTAATAGGATAGGAATTCTTGCAAAGGTCACAAGTCTCGTGTTTATTTCGCTGTAACTCAGCTTTCGCCATTTATAAACTGCCATATTTACCGTAGTTGTCCGCGTAAGCACCATGCCTGGAAAAACGCCCACCCCTCAATTTGATACAACAAAGAAATTGAGGCCATGTCCGGGCATACACCCAGGGGGTATATATATGTCAATTGCATAAAACAAGAGGTGAACACGAAATAGCCGTGACAGCAAAATAGGTAATTTTGCATTCTGCCTTCAGGGCACCACTGTTTACTTTATAAATGATTCAAGCAAATCTTACAGTATCGAGAGCAGCGAAGCAAGTGGCGCACTCGTTCGGCTTTAGCATCATCGACAATGAAACCAATGTTGCAATATTTTAGCAATCCGTACCTGGGAGAGTGGTTGAAAGTATGTTATTTTGGCTTTATAAAATATTTGGTAGCAACTGGCGAATCCATAACTGGGGCCAGCAATTTTACAAAGTAACACTGATGACTTGACCTCTATGATGAAACAATAGTTTATTCATTTATTTAGTAGTGATGTCATTCTTAGCCAATCAGTAAAGAAGATGCTTAAAAGTCAAAAATGATGAAGCAGAGTTGTTTGCCGCGATCTAATTCTTCTTGTCTCTTTATTGTGATTAGACACAAGTTAAAAGTGCCAATATGACAGACAGCGAAATCCGTGGATTAAAAGTACTAAGTCCAAATTGTGTGTGGCAACATCAAAGAACTTCAAGATGAAGCTGTAGGGATTTTGTTCGACAATGACAGTGACGCCGACTTAGATTTTGTGGTAAACATGCATTTTATAGGGTGAACATTTTGCTCACTAATGTTTATATTATACAATCAAACTTTTTGAAAGACTTCCTTTTGTACCACAGCCCTAATGTTAACGATAACCCACACTCCAAGTCCCCCAATTCAATTGTATACAAATATATGCCCCTCTAGATAATAATAGTCTTTAAGACTCTTTAGGTGGGAAATATAAAATTTAATTGCAGGGTTCACTCCAAGGCATTGAAGAGCAAAGGTTCCTAGCTGTTGATAAACAATAGAGTCCACATTCATTAGATTGGACATCATATCATGTGTGGTTACACGTACTATCAGCAGTTTTACTATTTTTTATTTTAGTCCCCAGCAAATTTTCGTTTGCTCAAACATAGCCCTGAGTACAGTCCTTGTAGTTTGGTCAGTAAGTACTCGGGGGTAGCTCAAACATTGATCATTCCGCATTGACAATTTCTGGTAGACATTCAGGAATTCGTAACATTTTTTAAACTTGAATTTTGAAAAATATTAACACCAACGTAGAGATTGGAACATGGAGAAGTACTCAGAATAGGTTACTTCCACTTACAAACATACATACGGCGTAAAAAGTTCCTCGCAAATCACAACTTTACATAATAAACGATTGCCGGTCGAAACCCGGCCTGGTCACGTATACGAAGGGGTCAACCAAGGTCACAGCGAGTCTGGACAAAATATATCCTAAAGTAGCGACCCTCCGTTCGTTCAAAACAGTGACACATGTCTACTAACAATAATCTGCAGCATGCAATCAAAAATTGTGAAAAAAGAAGTCTTCTATAATTAGAAATTTGTACAGACCTCTGGATGATCGCAAAAATACTGCAGCAGCCATCTTGGATTAGGAGACGTAATATACACCAAATGTCCGGATGTCACGTAAACTGCGCGACTTTATGAAACACGCGTTTAGCGAGATTATGTAAATATTTTGAATTATATAGGCCGAAAAAAAATATTTGTGGATTGAAAACATGTAGAACTTGTGCGGGCAATTTTTTTTCTTTATTTTTTTAGTAATCATATTTAATAAATTGAGATTGTATATTCATGAAACGCAATACAGTAGATGAAGGCCAAAACAGTTATGCGCATGTGCTGCTTAGCAAAGAGACCGTGACCGAGAGGGCATCACCCACTAGCGACATCACTCTGTATAGATAGCGTTGTTAACCTTCAAAATACTTTTCATGTTGACGTTTTTACCATTGTGACCTCGACTTATATTATTGTAACTATTACTCATGTTTATATTTTGAATACGTCTGTTTACCATCGTTATATGTCGTAATATTGAAGAAAAAAGGAGATTTAGCTGTGTGAGTAGCTGATTGGGCATACGTGCTAGCGTGTGCTGTTGTCCACTCGCCAAGGTGTCCGCAATCGTTCTTTGATATATCCAGGACACAGAAGATAATCGGGAGAGGGGGTCTTCGTAATTATGAGGTTGATAATTATAGATGTATTGGAATTAAACGTATCGTCAATAATTTACAGTGAATTTTGTAACTAAATGTATTGTAACTTTATTATTGTGCACACTCTCTGTTTATCGCTGTCATTAATTCGTTCGTTATTTTAATTAATTAAGTAATTAATACCAAATACACTGACTACGCCTTTGTCATTTACCGTGAATACTAGTAGCGGAGAAAACAGACGGAGGCAGCTCCCGGAGGCAGCTGGGGTTGTAAGTTATCCAACACTAAGCGACATGTTACACGGTCAACGCCCCTGAAGTAAAACCAATATAGCATTCCCTACGTGATTCATTTAATCTGAATATAAAGGAAATGACGCTGTGTTTACCTCCATGCCGTCAAACTATAAAACAATTGTTCAAATATGGGGAGATTTTTCCTTTTTTAGAAAGTCATTACAAAAATGATGTGTGAATAAGTACATGATTAGTGCTCTACTCAATTATAATAATTCTGAGCAATAGTGCCGAAATAAACACATTGAGACTGATTCTCAACTTCAATTGTTTATTGGTTTGGATGAAAACAGAACGGAAACGTTTGACCTGATACAGTCAACGAGTGATTTACTTTTAAAAATAGTTGAACATGCTAATTTAGACTGAAAATTGTACAGATAAAAGCCGTTCATATCTTGCCGTCTGGCTAGAGAACTTATTCCAGGTCTCTCCAGATTTGTTTGATTTTATTTTTGCCCACTCTCCATGTCTTTTTCGAGGTCTGATCCCTTTCCACGTTTTTTCTTTTGTCTTTCTTTTTTTGGCAATGTTTTTCTCTCCCCTCGTAATATTTTGTCTTACCCCCTTTCGGTAATGTTTTGATAACTGGAAGGTATCGACAAAAAATAAGTGCAAGTGACGTCCAGTTCAAAATTCGTACTCGTGATTTCATTAGAAAAGCGCATTGGATTGTGACGGAGAAAATCAATATTGTTTCGCACATGCGCGTTTCAACGACCACCACCCTTTTAGCTAATTTCTTCTTTCAAGGCTGATATCTGAGTGACCCTGGGCGATGATAAATGACTCACGAGCAGAAACTCCGAAGAAGGAAGTAAAAAAAATGTCTATCATAGCCAAATAATCAAAAAAGCCCACAATACGAGTAAATTCGAAGTATTCACGTAACATTCAGACCAATCAGCGAGCAGCTTGTTTGTTGAATTTTTTTTTCGGCGAATCAAATTCTGCATTTTATATATGCTCTGTGGTACTCCTTAGTTCTGGTCGCGGGTGTGTATGGTCGCAGAAGTAAAACGTGTAAAAATTGACCTGTGACTCAGACGTTCTAAAGGGAATAGAAAAATACTTTAGTACATATCGGCTATGCATGTATTCTACTAATGTTAGTCTAAGGAATTACCGAACGGCCTTTTTCACTGATAATAAATTATGCTTTTTTGACTATTCCGACTCCTGAAGACGCTGCTTTTAACACTTACTGCGTTCAGACGCACATGCTAGTTTATTTCATCTGCCTGTGTTTTCTAGCTACGACAAAAAAACTACAGATATGCTACTGAGGGTGTTATAGTATGCATAGTAACTTTTGAAGAATGTTAAAATCACAGTTCAATTTTTAACTCGTTTTCTTAAATTAGTAACATCCGATGTAATTATACGTGAATGTAATGTAATATCTTTGTTGAGTCTGCGTGGCTGTGTAGACCACGGTCCACCCCATTCAAAATGTAAACTGGATTCAAATATCGCAATATTACTACGTATCCTAGCCACCACTAAAAGAATTCCAGAATTACTAAGCAAATCTATTGTTGGAATTGAAGAATTGAATGTAATCACTTAGTTACTAGTACTTGTTTTGTGCTATTTACAGACAAATCTGATCAATAGCACACGACATAAATTAAAACTACAACAGGAAAGAACAATTGAATTCTTGAACAAATACGTTTTCAAATGAACTTTAAACTCATTAATATTGGTCTAATTTTTACATTGTTTGACGGGGCATTCCACATACAGCAAATGCCCTATCACCACATGACTGAGCCAGGATGCAACATTTGTCAAATAATTTACTTGGGTCGGGAAATGCGTTGAATACAATTCGATCCTTCACTGGAAGCCGCCAGTTAGGATTAGTCAAATCCCCTGTAAAATCCAATTTTGGCTTTAGAGTTATTGAAATCAACACGTCAAACAGTGGGACCAGACAGTTCGAATTCCGGCTTTTATATATTAGAGTTTTTTGGAACGTCAAACAGTAGGACCAGACAGATCGAATTTCGGATTTAGAGTTAGCAGAATCAGCACGTCAAACAGTGGAACCAGACAGATCGAATTTCGGCTTTAGATTTATTAGAATCAGCACGTCAAACAGTAGGACCAGACAGATCGAATTTCGGATTTAGAATTAGCAGAATCAGCACGTCAAACAGTAGGACCAGACAGATCGAATTTCGGCTCTAGAGTTATTAGAATCAGCACGTCAAACAGTTGGACCAGACAGATCGATTTCGGCTTTAGAGTTTTTTGAATCAGCACGTCAAACAGTGGGATCAGACAGATCGAATTTCGGCTTTAGATTTATTAGAATCAGCACGTCAAACAGTGGGACCAGACAGATTGAATTTCGGCTTTAGAGTTATTAGAATCAGCATGTCAAACGTGGGACCAGACAGATTGAATTTCGACTTTAGAGTTATCAGTATCAGCATGTCAAACAGTGGAACCAGACAGATCGAATTTCGGCTTTAGAGTTATTAGAATCAGCACGTCAAACAGTGGAACCAGACAGATTGAATTTCGGCTTTAGAGTTATTAGAATCAGCACGTGCACGTCAAACAGTGGGACCGGACAGATCGAATTTCGGCTTTAGAGTTATTAGAATCAGCACGTCAAACAGTGAAACCAGACAGATTGAATTTCGGCTTTAGAGTTATTAGAATCAGCATGTCAAACGGTGGGACCAGACAGATCGAATTTCGACTTTAGAGTTATCAGTATCAGTATGTCAAACAGTGGAACCAGACAGATTGAATGTCGGCTTTAGAGTTATTAGAATCAGCACGTCAAACAGTGGAACCAGACAGATTGAATTTCGGCTTTAGAGTTATTAGAATCAGCATGTCAAACGGTGGGACCAGACAGATCGAATTTCGACTTTAGAGTTATCAGTATCAGCATGTCAAACAGTGGAACCAGACAGATCGAATTTCGGCTTTAGAGTTATTAGAATCAGCACGTCAAACAGTGGGACCAGACAGATAGAATTTTGGCTTTAGAGTTATTAGAATCAGCACGGCACACAGTTGGACCAGACAAGACTCAGCACGTCAAACAGTGGGACCAGACATATCGAATGTCGGATTTAGAGTTATTAGAATCAGCACGTCAAACATTAGGATCAGACAGATCGAATTTCGGCTTTAGATTTATTAGTATCAGCACGTCAAACAGTGAAACCAGACAGATCGAATTTCGGCTTGAGAGTTATTGGAATCAGCACGTCAAACAGTGGGACCAGACAGATCGAATTTCGGCTTTAGAGTTATTAGAATCAGCACGTCAAACAGTGGGACCAGACAGATCGAATTTCGACTTTAGAGTTATTAGAATCAGCACGTCAAACAGTGGGACCAGACAGATCGAATTTCGACTTTAGAGTTATCAGTATCAGCATGTCAAACAGTGGGACCAGACAGATCGAATTTCGGCTTTAGAGTTATTAGAATCAGCATGTCAAACAGTAGGACCAGACAGATCGAATTTCGACTTTAGAGTTATTAGAATCAGCACGTCAAACAGAGGGACCAGACAGATCGAATTTCGACTTTAGAGTTATTAGAATCAGCATGTCAAACAGTAGGACCAGACAGATCGAATTTCGACTTTAGAGTTATTAGAATCAGCACGTCAAACAGAGGGACCAGACAGATCGAATTTCGGCTTTAGAGTTATTAGAATCAGCATGTCAAACAGTAGGACCAGACAGATCGAATTTCGACTTTAGATTTATTAGAATCAGCACGTCAAACAGTGGGACCAGACAGATTGAATTTCGGCTTTAGAGTTATTAGAATCAGCACGTCAAACAGTGGGACCAGACAGATTGAATTTCGGCTTTAGAGTTATTGGAATCAGCACGTCAAACAGTGGGACCATACAGATTGAATTTCGGATTTAGAGTTATTAGAATCAGCACGTCAAACAGTGGGACCATACAGATTGAATTTCGGCTTTAGAGTTATTAGTATCAGCACGTCAAACAATGAAACCAGACAGATCGAATTTCGGCTTTAGAGTTATTGGAATCAGCACGTCAAACAGTGGGACCAGACAGATTGAATTTCGGCTTTAGAGTTATTAGAATCAGCACGTCAAACAGTGGGACCAGACAGATCGATTTTCGACTTTAGAGTTATTGGAATCAGCACGTCAAACAGTGGGACCAGACAGATCGAATTTCGGCTTTAGAGTTATTGGAATTAGCATGTCAAACAGTGGAACCAGACAGATTGAATTTCGGCTTTACAGTTATTAGAATCAGCACGTCAAACAGTGGGACCAGACAGATCGAATTTCGGATTTCGAGTTATTGGAATCAGCACGTCAAACAGTGGGACCAGACAGATCGAATTTCGGCTTTAGAGTTATCAGTATCAGCATGTCAAACAGTAGGACCAGACAGATTGAATTTCGGCTTTAGAGTTATTGGAATCAGCATGTCAAACAGTGGGACCAGACAGATCGAATTTCAGATTTAGAGTTATTAGAATCAGCACGTCAAACAGTGGGACCAGACAGATCGAATTTCGGCTTTAGAGTTTTTAGAATTAGCACGTCAAACAGTTGGACCAGAAAGATTGAATTTCGGCTTTAGATTTGTATGACCTCAGGTACCTGGCATGGCGTGTGACACGCCATCTCAGGGAAATGCTGTCAAAGCACTATTGGAAGCACAAAAAAAGGGTACGAGTAATACGAATAGATGTTTTTTTGCACAATGGTTTTTGGTTACTAGTACATACAAATAAGTCAGCGCTCCATTGCTGGATTTCGTCTACACTTAATCTTCTCAACTCTCTGTATTCTATTGTATATACCGAGTAGATCACAGGACATCAATGATGAAATAGTTACCAGTGACAAAAAGAAAGCACAACGGCTGGATTCTAACTTGGACCATCTGGTAGACACACTGCCAAAATGTCATTTATCAAACCCACTCCATTCCGGCATTGCGTACTGGCTATAGTCACGTGACCAAAAAGCGCACCAACAAACATCGCCGCCATCTTGGCGTACATACTAACATAGCTATGGTAAAAAGAAGCAATCATATTTTTCGAGAGTTTTCAGAATATTTTATAGCATTGGATGGCGTTTCCCGTTCACGATATTTGAAATAAATTGCACTTTTGTAAACAGTTGAATGCCGTCCCTTTCCTGTTACACAATTTTGGGACAGAATATTAATCACTGAATGCCTTAAAAAACAAACAAAAAAACAAAAAAAAATTCCACCAAAATATATATGTCCATAAGTTGGTTTTGGGCAGCGGTGTTTTTCAGTTGAATAAAGTTCTCATATTCAGACATTCTTTGGATATGTAGTGCTGTATATACAAGGTCTTCAGTATCAAAATTTTATTTTAGATCATGCATGATACTATAGATTGTTATACATCTGCCGCGATTTTGCGATATTTTCATTCTACCATACAAGGAAATGCAAATTCCAAATATGGAATGATTACGTGCTTAAGCATCCTGCAATAATAAAAACAAACATGGCTGCCACCAGGGTTTGATGTTTGCTGATGCTGTTGCTGAACTTTTTGGATTTCGGCAATTCCATGTTATTACAAGGATACCTCAAAGTATGCACTCGGACAGTACACTGTCGCTTTGGTCGATACTTCTGCTGTACTGTCTTCGTGCATACTTTGAGGTATCCATGTAATAACCTTATTGTACATCATGATCAATATAATACTTGCACAAACAAAGACCTTTAGGAAGAATGAACAATTTCAGTGTCTCAAGATTCTATGGATTGCCAACATCTCTAACTACACATACCTGTTGTTTGGGGAAGCTGCATACAAAACGACAAAATTGAAATACACAAGCAGTTATTTAATGATGAAATATTTTTCTTTTATTTTATTGTGAAATCAGAAACAGTAGAAAACAAATCCTAAGATTTTCACAAAAATGTGGCTTGAAAAGCACACATTGTATCCTTTCTCTTTACATATATATATACAGGGTACTTTTCACTATACACAATAATATACATGGAAGAATGTGCTTCTTAGGAATGGTGCACTGATTTCAACAACATGCAAAAAAAAAGAATACAGAGCCTAGAAATTCAACACTACTCTCACTCGCAAGCTCAACATGCACACACCAATAAGAATTAAAATGACATAACATGATTAGCATACATCGCTATGACAACAAAAAAATAGATGAGAAAACGACAAAAATAGAGAGAAGAAAACATTTTTGATTAACTAAAAAGAGTGGATTTCAATTAAAAAAATTCACAACTTTTTAGCACCAATATAAACGCTACCTAAAGATAGGCTCAAATTTTCAATACAAACCAACAAGTTAAAACATGGCAATAGATTAAAACAGCATCTTGAACTTACACAAATATACAGATACAGCTGTTTTAATAAACCTTAAATTTAGTTCATTGCTTATGTGGTTATCTTCCATAGACTATATATATAGCACCCTATGTCAAATTTCATTTGTTACAAACAATCAAGACAAGTTCATAAAAAGTTTGTAAATATAGTTTGGTTACTGGCATATTTGCATATAGACTTTCGTTCACATAAACTCTTGGCAGACTATAGAATATTTGTTGTTTTTTCAACTGTCTAGCAGTTATTGATGGAAATGACAGATGTATCCGAGATTTCCTCTGCTACAAAGCCTGTGCCGTTAATAATGTATCAAACACAAACATTCTTTTCATATTTCATGGCAAATTTTAACATAACAAGTGCTTCCATAAAACGGCACCATCTTTACAAAATAATTTCCAGCATTCTTAAAGAAAATAAATAAATATGCCACATGTCATTTTTGATAAATAATAAAACTAACAAATTTATAGTTAGTTTCAAGCCAGAAATTAGATTAATCCATTAAGTGTTGATCTCAAAAATGAGATTATTAAGTTGTTTCAGAAAAACAATTTTAATTATAAATTAAAAACAAAAGTGCAATTTTAAATAAGCACTTGTTTTTGCTAATAATTGCTTGGTTGTTAACTTAGGTAAAGGCAATTGTCTTAATAGACCATTTTCCGTTCACTTCGAGATCCCGCGTCATGCGTGAAAAACAGGACAAAGTTCATAGCGTCGTAGTGGCGTCAAACATTGCATGCATGGGATACGACAAACGCGGAAGAATTTTGAGGTACATTTCCATGCTTAATAATGTGCTGTACACATTTGACGATGGTCAATTTTGATGAAGTAATGATATTCAAATGCAATATCCCCTTTCTCAAAGATCGGCC